ACTATTCCAACCTCTCCCCATTAATCTCAGGCGAAAGCCTTCGTGGTATTCCCTACTTGGCTATATGCAAACGGCGACGGTCCCGGCAGCGGCCGCATCAGTCGACTCCTCGGCCAGAGTGTAGGCGGCCACTGAAGGTTCGCTTTTGGTTCGACCGCAGCAGATCGTCGACGTTCGTGGTGGGAACTTCTGTTTATGCACCCTTATCAGCGGACTCTACAATCAGCAAAGGAGTATCTGGCCGTAAAACCCACACTTCGGTGTAGATCTGTGTGACCTCTGCAATCACATCCCCGTTTCCACTTAGCATACTGGCCTCCCAAGAACGACCGTTTTCATTGTTCTTTTTCCTTTGCTCCACCTCATTGGCTCGCGTTATTTGGCATTGACAATAAGCTGAAGTAGTGTTTTTGATATCACAACACGTATGTAAACAGATAGGGAGTCTAAACGTACACACCTACCTTTCCCTCAAATAAACTGATGCTATAGCATCAATTTATTTGAGCTGCAACAGCTGTCAATAAACCGACTATTAAACTTCCTTTAATTCCAAAAAGCTCAGTAGCGATGTTCATAAAATGAGCAGGATGAGAAAAAATAATAACGCATTTTCCTAAATACTTTACATTTGCTACGGCACGCAGTACTAGAGTACGTACCAAGTTTACCGACTTACACAAACAATTTCGATTAGAAAATCCTGACAAAAAGGTTCAGATTTTAAGAAGAGTTCAGTTATTTTTTCAAAAAGGCTGGCACTGACCAAATACGCTTTTTCTGAAAAAGTCTGCCAAGCAAGTTCTCCGATAGATAAAAAACCTAATGGCCTTCGAAACTTCCAAGTACGCGCTTCTTGGGGCTTTCATTTGGCCCTTTCAGTAAGCGGTATATTAAAACAATATTCTATAACTGCTAAAATACGCGGATGATGGCAGAAAAACAGAAGTTTAAATGGTAATTTAGTCAATGGTCACGATTCTGAGGGCATGTGCAGATAAGGATAGCTGTAAATATTTACAAATATGTCAAAGAGTACCTAAGCACATTCATGTGCGAAAATATGTTGGGAGGGTTAAGATGTGGCAACCAGCAGAAAAGGGTGCAACTGCTTGCATAAGTGATAACGGTCAGTAGATTTTTGAGTAAAATTTCGATACGAAAAGTTGGAAAACACAACTATAAACCCAAGATCTCAAAAATCTACGTAGCGCTCGAAGGTAAATCACCTATTGTCACTGAAATTATTATTCATGGACCCAATTCGTCTTTTGTAGTATAATTTAGGAATTGCGCAATGCTCTTAAAAGCCAATCACCTTTAAAATTTGGAGCATCTTCATGATCATGCCTTGCAGTTTAGTTCCCTGGGTCTTGCATTCTTTGACAATTGTATTCAATTTTTAATGAGTCATTTCCTACACAATTTGCGCCTTATGCTAAATAAACAAATAACCTTTATATTTTAGGCTTGGAGGGCCTTGTCATTAAAAATTTAGTGCTTTTGTGAGCAATAAATAGCAAGTGGATAATTTCTGCTCTATAAGAGCAACCACACAAGCTGCAGGAGTGTTACATATGATAGGCACATAATTTCATATCCGTCAACATGCTGTCATTTTAGAATAACAATCAGCGCTCTCTGAAAAAAATATGATGCACTACGAAGAAAGCAGTGAAAAAACTTATGATGTGAGAAAGGGGTAGAATGCTGTGAACGTGGGAGAAAAAACTGCTCCTATGATAATAAAGACGTTTGTTGTTTGGATTGTTGCGATACAGTGAAAGGGCACTGCGGTCATTGATCAGAAGGCTCACGAGTTCGAAAGGCTTCTTGTCGTTGGATGAAGCATATAGCAGCAAAGGCTACTGTTCACCGCCGTTACACCGTCTGACTAGCTAAAGGATCAACCATTAGGG